GCGGACCGGATCGCTGCGGCCACGCTGCAGCCCAGGGGGCGCGCCTGTCCCCGGGCCCACTATGCCTTCTCTATGCTGTCCTGGCCTCTGACCCCGCCTGTTGGCTTTGCTTCTTTGCGGAAATTGAAACTTAAAATGGTTTGTGTTTTCCCACTGTTCCTGTGGCCTCTCTAGAGTTTTTAGAAAAACTGATTTTCCTTAAGGGGATTTCCTGTCCTCCGCTTGCGCAGGGTTTGGCAGTCGTGCCTCACTTTTCAGAATATGCAGGGATATTCTTGAAAGAAACATCCAAAGGAGAATGTGATGTTTCCCTGTCTCTATAACATACATAAGTTTTTAAAAAACTGTATAGAAGTTTCACCATTTTACCAATCACCACCTTCTTCCTACCTTCCCTTCTTTTCATTCTTTTTGCTGCCAGGCATACGTATGGGAAGATTAGATTCTATCAGGCCTGGCGCCACAATGATATGAGTATGTTAGGAATATAGGAGGTAGATGGGTGGAGGCGATTTTTTTCATTCGCTAGTGTAACAAATTAGCACGGATTTAGTGGTTTAAAAACCACACATTTATTGTCTTTAAACTTTTTAGGTTCCAAGTTTGATCTGGGTCTTACTGGGCTGCAATCACGGAGACTGCTGGACTACCTTCCTTTCTGTAGGCTCCTGGGGTGAATCTGTTTTCTTGGCTTTTTCTTCTTTTTTAGGCTGTCCACCTTTCTTGGCTCGGTGGTGCCCTTTCTCCATCTAAAAGCCAGCAACGTATCTCTGGCCATTCTTCTGTTGTCACATTTCACTCTGACTCTGGTCTTCTGACTTCCTCTTTCACTTTAAAGGACCTTGGTGATGAAATAAAGTAAACAATGAGATAAATCAAAACCATGTGCCATCTGATAGGGTGCACTGAGAACACAGCATGACTTCTACGATATTCCTGCCAAAGATGCATTATCTGAATCTAAACATGAAGAAACATTACACAAACTGACCTGTTCTCTTCAAAAGTGTCAAGTTTGTAAAAGCCAAGGAAAGACTGAGAAATTGTTCCAGACAGAAGGAGACTAAAGAGACATCACAACTAAATGCAATGCATGATTCTGACCTGGGTCCTTTTGTTATACAAGATAGTATTGAGATAACTGGCAAAATTTGAATTGGATCCAGGAATTAGATGGCAGGATCATCTCTGTATCTTAAAGTCATCTGATTAGCAAATTTAATTCAATCTACAAACTTAATTCTCCTTTTCAGTGTAGCCTAACATATTCACACATTAGGATGTGGACATCTTTAAGGAGGTCATCTGTCTGATTACATAAAAGGAAGGCATTACTGTATATCCTACTCATGCAAATAGGGAAAATATCCAGATACTAAATATGCCATAAGAAGTGTTGGAGATATTTATATGAGTTAAATACATTGAGACCCTTTCTCACAAGCTTTCAAGAATATTGACTTAAAAAAAGCAAATAATGTTACAGTTTCTGCTTTCTAGAAATGTAATAAGAGAACTTCATATGCCTGGGATATCCTGAGCAGAAGAAATACCTGTGTCAAGATATTGCACAATTCTATACATTTTGAGTGTTTTCAGTGTGTAAACTTGTATTGTGCTCTGACTGGATACAGGAGGAGTGGACGTGGTCCCTGGCCTCAAGGTCGTGACCATGTAGTCATGGAAAATGACACAGGTGCGCAAATAATTAAAGCTCCTGAAAAGAGGTAAAAGAGGGAGAAGTAACATCCTTCAGGGGAATCAGAAAAAACTTCAAGAACTTTGGGAGAAATTTGGAGTGGACCTTGAAGAACAGTAGGAATAGTTAGAAATTAAGGTAGGAGGGGAGGAAGAATGTGACATATTGAGGGGCACAGGAGAAAAGGGGACTCTTCGAGTTTTCAGTATGGTTAAGGGACTTAATCTAGGAATCGTATAAATAAGACTAGGAAGTAAATTGGGTTAGATTATGTAAAAGCTTGGGTGAATGCCAAATGCCATTATAAGGATTCTGCAGTTATGTATAAGATACATACCTTTTTATTTTGAAACCATCTAAAACTTACAGAAAATTTGCAAGTGCAATAGAAATAACTTTTTTCCCCTTGAATTATTTGAGAATAGTTTCCAACCTCATGACCCATTGCCCTGGAATTCTTGAATATGTTATTTCCTACAAAAAAAGGTGTTCTCTATATAACCACAATACAGTGATCAAAATCATGGAATTAATATTGGTACATTACTGCCATCTAATTCCTGGACCCAATTCAAATTTTGCCAGTTATCTCAATACTATCTTGTATAACAAAAGGACCCAGGTCAGAATCATGCATTGCATTTAGTTGTGATGTCTCTTTAGTCTCCTTCTGTCTGGAACAATTTCTCAGTCTTTCCTTGGCTTTTACAAACTTGACACTTTTGAAGAGAACAGGTCAGTTTATGTAATGTTTCTTCATGTTTAGATTCAGATAATGCATCTTTGGCAGGAATATCGTAGAAGTCATGCTGTGTTCTCAGTGCACCCTATCAGATGGCACATGATTTTGTTTTATCTCATTATTTACTTTGATTGTTTTATTTCGGTGGCATCTGCTTTGCTTCTCCATTGTAGTTATTCTTTTCCCCTTTGAAATTTATCAGTATTTTGTGAGGAATTATTTTGAAACTAACTAAATTGTCCTTACCTCACCAAATTTCAGTATTTATTTATGTCAGTAAGGACTCATAGTTTTTTATTTTATTCAGTGGGTTTAATCATTACCGTCATTATTTACTGTTATACTTAATTTATTCCCATATTTTGGCCACTGAGAACTATCTCAAGCTGGCTCCTTTGTCCTTTTGACACGTCTGCAACATTCTTTGAGCACTTCCTTGCTTTTTGGCCATATAAAATGCTCATCTTGTACTTCTCCTGTCTCAGTCCCAGAAAAGGCAAGGAGACCAAAATGGCGGTTTTTTAAAAGGGAGCATCATGTTATGATTGAGATTAACTACAAAGGAATGTTAATACCCATTGTTTTTTATAATTGTGTTGAAAAGAAAAAGATTTTTAGACCTCTTTTATATATTTGTAGGTGTAAAGTTATTTAAAATATAGACTTTGTTCAGATATAAGCCACAAGATAATAGACTTTCTGATAGGAAAAAAGATATAGCAAAGAAGAGAAGTTTCTTTTGTAAAAGAGCAAACATTGTTATTATTGAGTTGTGTGTATATGTTATTTTCAAAATATTAAAATTTTATGATAATTAGGAAATCATGGCTGCTGATAAAGACAACGAAAAACAAGTCCTTAAGGATTGGCAAGATGAAGAATTTATGAAAGATGAACAAAATCAGGTAAAAAGGAAAAATCACTGGGTGATTTTATTTTCAAAGGAAAATATCACATTTCCTTCATTTCCTTATGAAGGCTAGGATTCTAAAGATGAATGACTTGTCAGCTCCTGGACTTATTATCATTAACAATCGCAATTGCTAGCATCTACTGAGAACTCTTGGGCATTAATATTTTTTAGTATTTCAGTGAAGCATGTTTTTGTGTCTTTGTCCAGCATTACCTTGAATTTAGGAGGATATTAGGATTTTTCAAAATTTTTTAACTTCCATTATTCAAACCTTCCAAGAAAAATCATATTTCTGATTTGTCTCTTACAAAGCTTACAGCACTAGCTGCCTTTTCACTCCCTCATTTCTTTAATTTGCACTCAGAAATTAAGAGCTTAGTTAGCAATAATCTGATCAGACCCAAGAGGAGAGAGAGGCTCAGGTAGCTTACACCATTTACCCGAAGCCATACGTGTGGCATGTCAAGGCAGCTGTATGGTAGAAATCACAGCAAAAGTTTTTAATTTCCCTAGAGTAACATTTGTGCAATTTAAAAGTCATATTGCAGTCACAAGTAGCTAGGAAAGGAATTGATCGAGCACTGCACTTAATTCAGAAGATCTGGGTGTCAGTCTTTACTCTTCTAAAAGTTTCTGTGACTTTGGTCTATGTGAAAGGTGGTTTCCTTGTTTGTATAATGCAGATAATAATACTTGGGAGTGGTAGGAGATGATGATGATTATTATGATTTATTGTTAACATGATCAAATTTATTCTGAGACTGTCTAACGTCTTTCTTTGCCTTGTTTAGGGTGAGAGAAATTTAGCTTCTTTAATTCATTTAGAAAAATGGGGTTGGGCTGTTTAAATTTTTGGTGCTATTTGATATTTTTTTTTTTTTAGAAATTAATTACTGAAATGGCAAAAGAAAATATTCGGTTAAGTGAAGAGATCCAAAAGCTTGAAGCTGAGTTACAAGAGACCATAAGTTCTCAGGTAACTCCTTTACTTATTTTATATATCATATTTTTACCAACACCGTTTTCAGGAAAAGCAATTTCATTATATAAAATCACTTTTAAAATATTGTGGTCATCCACAACACCACTGCTTGTAATAATCCCAAAGTGAAAATAACCTACTGTCCTTCCATAATAGAGTGAATTAATAAATTGGGGTATCTTCACACAATGAAATACTACATAGCAGTGAGAATGAACAGACTAAAACTACATGCAACAACATGGATGAATTTCATAAACAGTGTGTTGAGCCAAAAGAAAAAAAAGGGGCATACTATATGCTTCCATTTAAATGTAGCACAGAAGCAAGATATTAGAAGTTAGCATGATGGCTACTTTTGGGAGCAGGTAGGAACTAGAAGGGAACCCAAGAGGCCTCTGGGATGTTGGTTATTTTCTGGTTTTGATCTAGGTGCTGGTCACGTGTGTGTGATCACTTTGTAAAATTTCATCTTGGTGTATACTTATGATAATGCACTTTTTACATTCATGTATACATTAACAAAAATGATAAAAACAAAAAAATGGTCACTATCAATCATTTTTGGATGAAATTCGTGGTCTTCTCACTAAATTCATTTTTATTCTCCTCATCCAAGCTGCTACAGTAATTAAAATAAGTTTCACAGTATAAAAAAATTGAGTGCATCTCTTCATCATTATTCTCTCCAAAATTTTCCTGTATTTGAATTAGACATAACTTTCACCCCTTTTTTCTTCATAACCACTGATATTGTTACAAAAAATAACAGTTGTTTCTCTACACGATTTAAATGCTCAAGGCATGGTCACTTTTTGTTTCTGAAATGGGGATAAGATATTGAATATCAGGAAGTGAGAATTCCCATGTTTATGAGAGTTAAAGAAGACTCTATTAAGATTCTGGTTATTTCTCAGGCTGGAGCCAGAATTATTTAGTCTTACAACTCAAAGGGCCTTAAGAACCAGATAGTTCAGTTGATCCATTTTACAGAAGATCGAATCTGTGGTCCAGAGGGCATAAGTAAATTGCACTCTGCCACAGTGTGCTCAGGACTAGAATCAGGTACTCTCCCTCTCACTCCAAAAGCTCTTGACTTCTCTAAGTACAGGAATACTTCAGAAATGTGGGTTCGGTTCCAGACCACCATAATAAAGCAAATATTGCAATGTAAGTGAGTCATACGAATTTTTTGGTTTCCCAGTGTATATAAAAGTTATGTTTACACTGTATTGTAGTCTATTAAGTGTGCAATAGTATTACGTCCAAAAAAATGTAATATCTTACTTAAAAAATATTTGATTACTAAAATATGCTAACCATCATCTAAGTTGCCAGCAAATTGTAATCTTTTTGTTGGTGGAGGGTTTTAGCCTCCAATATGTAAAATACGCAATATTTGTGAACTGCAATAAAGCAAAGTGCAATAAAACAAAGTACGCCTATATACTGGATATCTCCACATTATTGGGAAACACTTTGCCTTTTCTCGGGCATTACAGATTGTTTTGAAATCAGAATTATGATAGTCAGAAATTCTGCTGAAGTTACATGTAAAGATATACAGTGAATATAAGATTAGATCAAACGACTCAAGAACACTTTTTATTTCCGCGTGTAAGTAATCATGGGAAATAGAAATGCAAACACTAGTTTCATTTGTGCATTCACGTGTAGTTGTATAGGTCTGTTGATCCCAATGATTTTAAGCAGCTAAGTATTACCACTTAACTTTATCCTCCAGATTATAAATCTTGTTGATAGTGTCCCTTCACATTTTTATAAACCTAAGTTGTGGTAATGGTTAAAAAGTTGACGAGCAGGTGTTGGGGAAGGGGGAATTTAAATTTGGTAAATTTTAAATCATATAATTCAGAAGTCTTTCTTTTTGGATGAAATTATCAAGGTTTGCTATTAAAATAACTATAGTGTACTCTGGACTCCATTTTGTATCTTTTTTGCAGTAAGAGTCAACATTCTGTCTAATGATTCCCTGTGAGCTAGCCTATTATTGGCACAGTTGTTTAAAAGTTACTTATCTACAGGAATGATATATAGGCTTTAGATTGAAACATTATACAACAGTCACCAGTTTAAACATTGATTAGAAAAGGTGAGACAGAAAGAAATCTATGAGTGGTGAATATACAGTGTAAATGTATATATGCCTTACTGTTAAAATGTACGGATGAAACACTGGATTTTGTTAAACAACGTCACCATAAAAAAACAATAAATTAATTAATTTTAAAAAAAGTGAGAGATTATAGACTTATAATTTCATCTGTGAAATAATATTAAATGGTCAGTATCTGATTACATTACTGATTACTTACTTGGGCAGAAGCAATTACTGAAGTGATTAAATAAGACCACGCTGGGTATTGTGTGGGGTTCTAAAATCAGTGGAGAATGAATTATTGAATGATCAGATCACTGGAAGGACTTACGTTATTTCTTGTCTTGATTTTAATTTAACATTTGCGTTTGAATTAGATTAAAGCGGATATTCCTGAAACAAAGATGAAATTTACATCTTTAGAGAGTCCAGAGAACGACAGCCAGTTTTTAAATGTCTCCTGTTCATTTCAAGTGATGTCTCCAGTTCCTTATGAGCTACAAAAAGGAGAAGCGCTTATCACCTTTGAAAAAGAAGAAGGTATGACTACCATTCTACAGTATGACCTAGTTACTTTTGGAAAGCACTTGGACTCTCAAAGAGCTTTCATAAATATTTGGCTCTGCTTTACAATTTTTACACATTATTTCATTTAATCCTCAGATTGAAACTGAGGCAGGAATGATAATCTCCATTTCACAGAAAAGAAAATTGACTCTGAGACTTTAAGTGACTTGAATATGATCACTCATTCAGAACACAGTGGCTCTGAGACTCAGGCTCAGGTGTTGTGATGTCCAATACCAGCATCTTTCTATTACACCTGCTACCTCCAAATAATAATATTAGTAATAATGTTTTAAGGACTTAGAGCTCTACATGGTTCCCACAGACATTATCTCATTTTATACTCACATAACTCTATGGAAGCAATAAGATAGGAGAGTTACTATTTATATTTTATGGCCAAGAAAACAGATTCTCTGGTATTTAAATGATTTACCTAAGGACACATGACCAGTGAATGGAAAGAACCCAGGAGTCAGAGATTTGGGATGAGACCTGATGTTTGCTAAGTCCACCATGGTATGTAGGACCCTGTTCAGAGCTGGGGGGTGAAGGTGGGGTGCCTTAATGAGGAGAATCTGGCTTTGAATACCAGCTCTGCCCCTTTCTAGAATTGTGATTTGGGTTGGGTTTTTATAAATCTCAGATTATTGTGACAGGACTTGTAGTTGTACCTACCTCATGGGGTTGCTTTGAATATTAAATGAGAAACATTGTTAAATACTTAGTGCAATGTCGGACACATAATAAACACTTAATAAACATTAGCTGTCATTGTTGCTACATGTTAGCAATTTTCCAGATAAATTTTCTAGGAAACAAGAAATCTAATGATTTTTGGCATAATTATATTACTGAGCCTCTCCCATTTGCGTGGAAAAATTGGACATGATAGTTTTGTGATCAGTATAGCAAAGCTATCAACTTTTTAATGACTGATATCAAAGCATTTTAGCAAAAATAGAATTCTTGCTCAGGTCCATACATTTAACAAATTGCAGAGCTGAGAGCCCAATCCTGAGTACTCATATACTTTCTGCTAGATAACATTCCTCTGAAGAGGCCACTATATGTCAAGTTATAGCGTGGGACCAGACTGTCTTCACAAGCCCTTCCAGTGCTCAGATACTGAGAATCTATTATTATAACTCATGTCTCCTGATGCCTGGTCCATCACTAGAGCCTGAAAATAAGTGTTAAAAAGAAAAGGATCCAAGGAGGTCAAGAGGTACAAACTTCCAGATATAAAATAAATAATTCATGTCTATGGCCATGCCACCCTGAACAGGCCAGATCTCGTCTGATCTCGGAAGCTAAGCAGGGTCGGGCCTGGTTAGTACTTGGATGGGAGATGACCTAGGAAGACCAGATGCTGTAGGCATAAAAAATAAAAAAATAAATAAAAAATAAGGGATTGTAAGCTGACAAGGTCCTTGCAATCTGTGAGGTCAACCAAGGGTTGCCTTGCGAAAAAAAAAAAATCGTGGGGATATGATGTACAGTATGGCAACTATAGTCAGTAATATCGTATTGCAAATTTGAAAGTGCCAAGAGAGTAAATCTTAAAAGTTCTCATCACACAAACAAATTTTTGTAACTTTTTATAGTAGCAGATGGTAACTAGACTTAACGGTGATCACTTTGCAGTGTTTACAAATATCAATTTATGAGGTTGTACACCGGAATCTAATATAATGTTATATGTCAATTTTACCTCCATAAACACAAAAACAATAAAACAAAGGCATTCTGGTAGGTCAGTATATACACCAACTGTTCATTCACCTGGGGTCCACCATTGCAGCTGAGGATAGAGGAGGAGACCAAGAGCCATGCTGGCAGTTGACAGTGGTAATTGGGATGTACCTGAAAGACAGAAGTGTGGATTTGGGAGGCAGGGATTACTTAGGAATTCTAGGAATAGGATTCTCTTCAGAGGCAGTTGCATCACTGCTTCTGTACTAGGCATGGCTATGAGATTCTGCTCTCCTGGGACAATTTTGGGTTTATGCAATTAAACAACAGATGGCTTTCGATGCTCAGAATCACAAAAGTTGAAATACTAATGGTTCCTCTCAGCTGCGTCAGATCACCAGATGTTGGAGATTTGGGTGTGGGGAGTGAGAGGGATGAGCATCATCTAAGTATTACTTCACTGATATTTTCTCCTATCATTGCCTGTTGTCTTTAACAAAAAAAGAGCCATAATTCAAGTTCTAGTCATATTATGATACGAGGAGTGTGAATTCCAATTCCCACATGACAACGCCCTGTCTCCTAGCCTTGTTTCTCTCTTACTTCAGCTGTGGCGTGCTAGCTGATTGTTATAAAGACATGTGAAATTTATTAGACCAGGAGTGGGCATCTCTGATCTTCTTGACAAGCAGCTTCAAATATTAACAACTGAAGTATTATAAACTTGCATGTCACACAATTAAAAATAAACACACCCATATGAATTTTAAAGTGACATACAGTTGCTGTTTGTAGTTCTAATGATTTTTGGCATAATTGTATTACTGAGCTTCTCCCATTTGCATGGATAAATTAGACATGATAGTTTTTATATTGTGATCAATATAGCAAAGCTATCAACTTTTTATTGAATGATATTAAAGCATTTTAGCAAAAGTAGAATTCTTCATTTAATATGGCAAAAAAAAAAGACTTTTTGATATTCAAGCCTATGTGGTCTTTAATATGTAATCCTTGGGAAAGACAGAAACAAAAATAAATATTTATTTCTATGGTGCTTGTAACATATTAAGAAGAAATGGCAGGAATGATACTGACTCACAAGGTTACTCAACATGGAAGAAATTTCTGGTTGTGCTTTAATGGGAATTCTCTGAAATTCTGTCAACAATGGAAAAGAAGGGTGTGTGGCTATAATGAAATAATATATGCCTTTCTGAAGGATTTTCAGGCTTATCTCTTGAGAAACAAATCTAGAACTTGATGAGGATTTCTACATTGCATTTGTGCTGATGTATTTTGACATTAATATATCCTACTTTGGTATCAAGACCATTATCTCTTGGAAATCCTAAGAAAAGTTTAAAAATTAGATCCTTTAAACTAAAGAAAATTGAAAATCTTCAGGATAATTTGTTCTTAAACCAAACGGGTAAAAATGTAGTGAAATGTTGGAGATTAATAACTCCCAAATTATTTTTCAGTTGCCCAAAATGTGATCAGGATACAGAATCATCATGTGCAGATAAATGATGTCGATCTGGAGGTTGTGGCCAAGCCCGTTCCATTGAAGTCTGGAGTTAGTTTCCAGGTAACGTGGTGATTAAAACTTTTCAGATTTCTATTAAACGTGGACACTTTTCTCATTCCTATTTCTGCATATGAAATGATTTCCCAGTTTCACGCAGAAGTCTCTAAAATAAAGATCAATGTTACTGAAATTCCTGATGAATTGCCTGAAAGTCAGATGAGAGACAAGATAGAGCTGAGCTTTTGTAAGTCCCGAAATGGAGGCGGAGAAGTGGAATGCGTGGAGTATGATAAACAGGCCCGAAGTGCTGTCATCACATTTGTGGAAACTGGAGGTATGCACGCATTTAGAAAGTTAAAAATTACTCTACCATTTAAATTATGTTCTGCCATTTTTGAAAGTATTCCTTTTCTACTTTTATTTGAAATTTATTAGCATAATAATAGGGAATTTTTTAAAACCTTATAAAATGGTTAAGTCCTGAAAATGATTTTCATAAATCCTACTGAGAATCTTACAAATAACGAATACGTAAATCTTAGCGCATCCTCCTCACGTGCCAGGCATGGAGCCAGGTGTTCTATACGTTTATCTTCTCTGATCCTCAGCACAGCTGTGGAGGTTGGTGTTATACTCATTTTATTGATGAGGAAACTGAGGCCTAGGGAGGGTAAATAACTTATCCAAGATTTCACAATGGATGTGTGGCAGAGAAATTTAAATATATTTATGTAAAGCTGTCTCTTCTGTCCCACCTATTAGGATTGACAAGGTTCTCTTAGGTGAAGGAGATCGATTCCAGAGAAGACAAGTAGTGTTGGAAAGGACAGCTAGACATCTGCTCCCTTTATAGGTAGAAATGGACTTTTATCAAATCATCTGAGGGATGATTTACATCCTTATGATTAAAACTAGAAGATTCTACAGCTGCTTCTGGTAATATGTTCAAATGATTCTCCGTGTAAAATCTCTTTCTCTAATTTACAGGGCTTCTCCTCGGTTTGCACATATAATAGAAATCCAACTGTACAATTAAAAAACATTAATCAATTAGGTTTTTTTCATAACAAAGTAATCCGTGTTTTTAAAAGAAATTAAAATAATAGAGAAAAGCATTAATTTAGTAAAAATTGAGATATTTTCTTAAACTTCTCTTTCTCCTACTATGTAGTTAGTTCTGGTTAGGTCTTTTTAGAATTGCTGGATCATATGATAATTCTATGCTTAATGTTTTGAGGTACTGCCTTACTATTTTTCCCTGTGGCTGCACCATTTTACATTCCTACCAGTAATGTACCAGGCTTTCAGTTTCTCCATAGCCTTGCCAGCAAGGGCCTGTACTCTTAACCGCTGTCCCATACTGCCAGTCCAAGGCAGACTGGGAAGAAGAGGGGGAAAAAAAAAAGATTACATATTATTAAGAACTTTTTCTGTTAAATTTTATATCTTGACACATTGCCTTTTTCTCTTCTAGGAGGAAAATGCTGCTAAACATAAATCTCATTAATTTTTGTTTTGGAGAAAGCCGATTAATTTTTATTATTTGCCTTCACTTTATCTAGGTGATGTCCAATGCTCTCCCACATCTTTGGTTAATGTCATTATATCAGTTTACCGAATAGCATGTATCAGTTATAGGATAACTAACACACATACATAAACACACACACTATACTAATAAAGTAGGATACTATATATGCGTGTGTATGCATATATAGTAAAAAACATATGTTATAAAAATGTATACATATATACTATTCTAATCATAGTTTTCCTTTATACTTTAGAAACTGGGAAACAGTCTTCTTACGATGGGTGGGTTACTGTGCATTGACTGACTGAAGCGGATAATTCAAGAGAGAAAGATCTATTTAAACCTTATTCTTGTTTGTTCTATGTTTTTCAAAATTATGTACTGTGAAGTCTTTAAGTGGACTGTAGAATTTTTAAAAATTTAATCACTCAATTTACTGTTTATTGTGATACTCTTTTTGAAGGAAGTTTTAACTTAGGTTTATGCAATAAATAAAATAATTTTTTAAAAATTTACTTCTAGTTGTGGACAACATTTTGAAAATGAAAGACTATCCTCTTTATATAAATCAAAACTGCCATAGAGTTGTTGTTTCTCCGTACATAGAAACACACGTGAAAAAGTTTCAGGTAAAGTCATCTTTTTTCTTTCATTGTGGAAACTTACTGCTTGACCCTATCCTCCTCCCCACCCCCAAAAAAGTTGTGAGTCTGATACTGTTTGAATCTTCCTAGTGAGGGAATAGCAAAATAGTTTCTTCGTTTCGGCTTGGTGCAGAATAAATTTGTCTTTTAAAAAATTATTTTAATGCAAAACTATACCTTATTGAATTTATTATACACTTTTTAAAACTGAAATTATTCGTATAATGGCACAATTATGTACATGGAGACATAGCTACATTTCTCTCGTATGTGTACTACCATTGGGCATTAAAAATAATTTTTCCTGCTCATTTTCTCTTAACTCATTATCTTTACCCCAAACTTGCTCCCTTTTTCTATTCCTACTCAGGTGTTAAATGTTACCACCCTCTACCTAGTCCACCAACCTGAAAGCTAAACTCATGCTTAATTAACTCTTCTTTTTACTTTACCTCAGATATTCATTTGGTCACTCAGTCTTGTCACTCCCACTTCTAACTACCTCTCTAACTAGTCTTTTGTTTAGAGTTGCTCTCCTTTCCTCTGTTTGTCATAATGCCACCAGAGTCGTCTTTCTGAAACTTAGATCTGACTCTTGATATTCTCTTGCTTGAAAAATCTTTCTGAGGCTCCTTGTCTCAACTAAGATAACTCCAGAATATTAAGCAGAGCTTATAAATGTAAAGTTTTGCAATTCAAAGCTCTGAGAAATTGTTTTATTTATCGTTTTTTACTTTCTTTCTTAGGTATTTTCAGGAATATCTAAAAGGACGGTGCTTCTGACTGGAATGGAAGGCCTTCAGATGATGGATGAAGAAATTATAGAGGATTTGGTTAACATTCACTTTCAACGGGAGAAGAATGGTGGTGGAGAAGTTGATGTGGTCAAGTGTTCTCTAGATCAACCTCACATAGCATACTTTCAATAATAGACTCATGGAATCATATGAAAATTAGATCTTCTGAGCCCAAATCACTCTCAGTGTTTGACAAAAATTAATATTTTTTCCCTTCAAAAATGAAAACTTAAATTCTTTAGTGTCCACATAGTCTTAGAGACAAAATACATTTTCATTGTTTTAAATTCTTCTTTGTTCTCGTCTGTACTGCATATTTATAAATGTAGTAAGTGCACTGTATGAGAAACAGTTTTGTTCATAAATTATGTGGATTGGTGCCAAGTCTGTTGAAATCAACTGTTAAGCGATGCTGTTGTCCCCCTGCCATGTTGTATCATTCTGTCATAGTCATGCAGGCCAATTCTGTTTTGGTTCCAGGTCCACCATATGCAGGTATGACTCTTAACATTTCCCCAAAGAAATGTTACACTCAGCAGTTTGTGATTTCTGTAGAATTTGCTGAATTTTAAAGAACTTCAAGAGTAATCATTTTCCACTTTCCAAAGCATTTCATTCCAAAAGTATTTCTCAGAGCCAAGTGTGGTGGGTTTTTTTTTTTCATTTTCCTTCAACCTGAGTGCCAAATGACCCCTATTCCTTCCAAGGCATCCCCTCTCCGAATGGAACTTGGAAAGACCAGAATTTTCTTTTTTTATGCTTACAATGTAAAGAATCCATTTAAAGGACTGAAAATGTAAAGCTGCTGGCTTATCGCTCATCATGCTAGATGCTGGGGGATGCCTGAAAGTAAAAACACAGTACCTTTCATTTAAGAGCTAAAGATTTAGTTGGAAAGATACCCAGTTTATTAGCATCCCACTGTTTTAACTTACAAAAACTTTAAATGGTAAAATTCAAGGTTCCTATTTAGGGAAGGTAAAATTCTCTTCGGTAAAGAATATTTGAACAGCTTTTATCTTAAATACATATTAAAATGCTGGCAGAAATGAAATGCTTTTAGAAAAGATTCTAAACCTAAACCTATCTAATGCTGCTTGCCAACTAAAATAAACGAAAAGAAATGCTAAAAGAAAAAAAGCTTTGTTTTTCTTTTGATATTTTATTTTTAGGTTTTAAAGTTGTTATGCTACCATCAGAAGTAGTCATTATTCTTTTATTGCTCTTTGGAATTAGAGATGGTGTGTAAACTGGGCGTTTGTAATAGTTCTCCCAATTCGTTGTTTTAGGAAAAAAATCTCTCATTATGTTAGTTTTTTGGAAATAGTACTATGATTTCAAGTTCCCCAGAATACAGGAAGAACAAGTTAAATGACCTTATTTAGTTTTACTTGGTTCAGTTTCACTAGCATAGTCATTTTAAGTCAGGGCAAACTGCCAATCAGAAATAATTATTTCCTAATATTTAGGACAAGGTCTGAATAGTCACTTTTGTTTCTTTGGATGCCTTCTTTAGGCAACAAAATAGATAATTTAATTCAATTCTGAATTTTCACAATGGTTTTTGATAAATATTACTTAGGAAATTATTCTTTTCCTCTTTTTCCTGCTCCACCTGTGTGTAATCTGGCCGGATATTAGAAATCAAGCATTGACTTCCTTGCCTATTTCTAGCGTTTTAGAGATCTTATAGGACAAGAGTTGTCTTTGAAAATTTACCAAAAGATACTGTTTTAACTATTTAACATATTGTATTTTAAGCTCTACTTAATGTGTGAAAAGACATCGTCAATATTTAAGTCAGGAAAGATAGATATGTGGAATTACAAGTCCCTCTAGCTGTTTGTAGATTTACCAGTCAAAGTAGGCTAGGTAACCTATGATAACAAACCACCTCCCACCTCAGTGGGCTAATGGAATAAATGTTTAATTCACATTCATGTTAAATGTCCAGGACGGGTTGTTAGGGGACTCTGTTTGTCCTAGTCACTTAAGTCCTCGTCTTGAGACATTCTTCCAGAATCATGGAGGTAAAGAAAAATTACATCTGGAGAATCTTGCACCAGCAATTAAATGCTGTGACCCAGAAGTAACCTGTGTCATTTCCTCTCACATCTCATTGGCCAGAAATAGTTACATGGCCTCAGCGAAACATGAGAAAATTCTGTCCTATAAAAACGAGAACCAGCTATAACTGAGCTAGAATAATAAGGAGTATGCTTTGTCTTATCCTACTGGTCATCAATATTTTTAACACTCTTCTTCACATATAAAACATACGTCCCATTCCCGAGGGAGAAAAACAAAACAAAAGTCCCCCAATCATGGCATCAAACTCAAAATTATATGAGCTATAGGTGATATGTGGTCGTTTCTAGATCGGGTATGAATGTTACTCCTCTTTCTCCAGAGACTCTACAGTATACAGTAGTGGAACTAGAACAATATAACTGCAATAAACTCTACCACATTTGGAAAGGGACAGAATAGGAGACACATGGCAGTCACTGGGCCAAAGCCATCCCGAAATCCCATTGAGTAGATCTGTGCTCCATACCCCCTGGTGTGGAATTTTGTTTAGGCTGTGATTCCAACCTGGATATTCTTCTCTTGCTCCTTGTCCTCATAG